GCCCCACCCGCAGCCCGGCCCCACCCCGCGCTCCTTTTCGGCCAGGTGGAGGAGATGGTGTGCGATGCCATCAGCAGGAACCTCCTGGCCTTCCACAACATGCTGCAGTCCTATGACCTGGGGGACTCGGGGCTCATCAGCGCCCCCAGCTTCAAGAAGGTGATGCACATATTCTGCCCGTGTCTGACGACGGAGCATCTAACCAAGTATGTTTCTCGGTAACGAAATTAACTCGTGTCACGTTGCTCACAAGTCTGTGTCCGTCGTTCCAACCCATTCTCTGCGTGTGCACGATGTTGATGGGTGACGCTGACAGGAGCTGCTCGCCCACCGGGGGGCAGCTGTCGCGAGCCGGGCGTTGCTCTGTGGCTTCGGCCCCCCTCGGCCACGCGGGGTGGCTGTCACTCCTTCCCACCGACGAGGAAATGGGGGCCTAGGGACGGTAGGCACCGACCCCCAGTCGCACGGCTAGTGGGCGGAGGAGCCCGGGACGCCCGCTGGGTCCCCGTGACCCCTCGCTCTTCATCATTGCGCCGTTTCACCCCCAGGCTGCCTGGCCGTGATCGGCCATCCCACAAACAGCAGCTTGAATTCTATGTTTGTTTCACTTTTGTTTAAAACTTCATTTTCGGCGGTTGAACCGAAGCCGGAAGGGGGCGGGATGCTGAGAGAAGAGCAGCCCTGGAGGCCCCGTGCTGTTCCCGGGCCTCTGCCCCTCGGGCACGAGCCGGCGGCTCCCCCTCTGCGGTGACCGCGACCACCTACAGCCGAAACCCCTCGCGCTGCAGGGACGAGCCCCCACGCCGCCCCCTGCCTGCCCTCGCCTCAGGCTTCGCCACCCCGGGATTCTGGGTCCTGGGTTCCCTAGCGTGGGGCAGAGGCCCGGAGATTGCTTTCGGTGGAAATCCAGTTCAGTCATGGGGAGGAAAGTGACTCCTGTTCTCTCCAGCCCACCCGACGGGTGCTGAAAACCTCGCGTGCTGCTTTTGTTTACATCAGATTGATTTAGGGCTGGAGCGCAGCAGATCTGCTCCTGGCCGTTGGCCGTTTGGGTCTCCTTTCTGTGAACGTTCAGATTTCATAACCTGTTTTTCCTATGGCTGGGTTTTGTAGGGAAAAAAGAAAAGTTTATAAGAAGAGGAGGTGAGGCGGAGGCTTTCCTGAGCAGGAGAGGCTGGGCTGGGCGTTTGCTTTTACCCCAGTTTATCAGCAGTTTACAGAAAGATGAGTGTGCGAGTGTGTGGGAGAAACACAGGAAGGGGAGGACGGGTGGGGCAGGTTAGGAGCGAGGGTTCTGGAGGGAGCGAGGGCCACAGTGATGTCGGTGTCTGCGGGGGCCCAGCTGGCCGAGGCCTTCACTGAGCGCAGCCAGGAGGGCGGCGGCCCGGGATGCACCGGGCAGTCCACTTAGCCCTTCGCGTGGCCTTTCCCTCGGAGTCGCAGCGAGCGCCTGCTGAAACCGGCCCTCCAAGGTCTGCTGGGCACAAATCCCTTTTGTCTCCAGGGCGGTCTCATGGGGGAAGAGATGCCCACACGCCCAGCCTGGCATGTGTGTCCTGGGTTGAAGGACACAGAGCAGGACGGCCCACTGAGAGCCGTGGGTGGGTGGGGCGGCTTCCCGGCGCCTGTTGCTTGAGCCTGGGGAATAAGGGGAGGGCGTTTCAGGACCTGGCGCAGCAGGGCTAGGGGCACGTGGCGTGTTCGTTTGGGGACTGCGGGGCAGGGAGTTTTCTAGGGGAGGGACAGAAGGAAATGAGGCCGAGGGACAGGCTCGTCAGGCGGGAATGACTGTCCCACACTAGGGAGTCCTGAGAGCCCCCCGGGCCGGGGAGGTCCCCGTGCCCTGTCCCCAGGCGGAATCGGGCACCTTGCCTTGAAGTCCCCACCGGCTCTGATGTGCAGTCGTCACTGAGAAGCACAACTGAGGGGAACTGGAGCCCGTGAGGTGGCTTCACATGGGGCAGGTGACACTTTCAGATCTGCACCTTGTATAAAGGTCTCTCCAGTGAGGACGGACTGTGTAGAATCGACTCCCAGGCTGTCTGCCAAAGTGGCTGCTGCCCCCTCACCGCCCACGAGCAGCGGGTGAGGGTGGCAGTTACCCACATCCTCGCCGACGCTCGGCAGGGCGCGTCTTTTTCAGTTTTCTCCGTTCTGATGGGTGTGTCCCACTTACCTTTAAAATCCAGGCTCTGCGGCAAGTTTCAGGACGCCGCCTCGGGGAGAGTCCTGTACAAGAGCCTCCTGGCCAGCATGGGGGTGCACAGCCCGCCCGCCGCCCCGCCCGCCTGCTCCCCGAGGGGCCGGCTGGCGCAGGAGCACCTTCGGCAGGAGGAGCAGCAGGCGAATGGCGCGGCGAGGTAAACGACGGAAAGCGAAGGCCACAGCGCCCCGGGGAAGGGCAGTAAATGTTTGTTGACTAAATGAGTGTATTAATATTTTACTTTTTTAATAAGAAAGGTGGGAAACTATAAATGTAGTGATTGGAGCCAGTGGATTTTAGAGCCAGAGGAGATCTTAGCAACTATCGAACTGGCCTAGTAGTCCTAGAAACGGAGGCACCGAGGGGTTTGGGGACTCGCCTCAGGTTTCAGCGACTCCGCGGCTGTCCCGGGCCACGCGTCCAGGGCGCTCGGCTCCCGGGGCCCGTCTGCCTCTCACCTGCTGCAGACCTGCGTTCACATCCACTCTCTTCCCCGCACCTGGATTCCTCGCCACCGTTTACCATTTACCGCAAAACACACCCCTTCACCCAGGTGCCACTTTCTAATAGGAACAATAGAATCGTCGCAGCGACGGCCAGACTGACCCGTAACGAGGCCCCGTAACGAGGAAACGCGGTAGAAAGCGGGCTGAAGAGCACGCTCACCCCCTTCGTTTTGGAAAATAGGTTTAGTCTAACAAACGGGTATTTAAAGNCAGGAACAATAGAATCGTCGCAGCGACGGCCAGACTGACCCGTAACAAGGCCCCGTAACGAGGAAACGCGGTAGAAAGCGGGCGGAAGAGCACGCTCACCCCCCTTCGTTTTGGAAAATAGGTTTAGTCTAACAAACGGGTATTTAAAGTTCCGTGTCCACAGCTCACAGTGAGCCCCTAGGAAAGGTGAGCCGTGGGGTGTTGGCAGCCGCCCCTTCCTCGTGGCCCCTTTAAAGCCCCGCGCAGAGCAGTGGGGGTTTGAGCGCCTGCCGAGGGACTGCCCGGGCCTTCCCGTGGTAGCTGCTTCGCAAACGGCGGAAAGATGGTGTTTTCAGAGCAGGTAAAGCACTCGGCGATGAGATACGACCTCCTCCTAAAACCAGCGGGGGCAGTAACGGCGGCGAGGCGTTTCAGGAAACGTGGTGTCCCGCAGAGCCCTGGGAGCCGCGGGAGCCGCGGCAGGTGCCTCCTGCGGCTGTTCCGCGGCGGTTTCCCGGCCCTGCTGCCTCGGCCGCCCGGGGCCAAGGGGCTTCTGGAGAGCTGAGGGAATAGCTGTCCTCCGCACGCACGCTCACACACGCACTCACGCTCACTCTCACAGGCACTCACAATCACTCACACACACATTCTCACACACTCACGCTCACTCACACTCACACGCTCACTCTCACAGGCACTCATTCTCACACACACGCACACACATTCTCACACACTCACGCTCACACGCTCACACGCACACATTCTCTTACATTCTCACACACACTTTCTCACACACTCATTGTCACACTCACACTCATTCTCACACTGACACATTCACTCTCACACATACACACTCATGCTCACACACACTCATTCTCTTACATTCACACACACACTCATTCTCACACACACACTCTTACTCACAAACACTCTCACGCACACACACTCACGCACACACACACNACTCATTCTCACACACACACTCTTACTCACAAACACTCTCACACACACACACTCACGCACACACACACCCCGCACAGCCCATCGAGTCTGTATCTTATAAATCACCTTGGAAAGGCCGTGGCCATCCCTTCCTTCCCACGGATGTTTGGTGGCCCCTGTGATCTGGTCGCCGGTTTAACTTGAAGCTCTATAACGGGCTCTTACCTTTAATTTCCCCAGGTCACAAAAATACTCTCTTCCAACCATGTCTGCCCAGTCACCTGCCGCGTTCAGCCAGCGCAAAGCGCAGTTGAAAGTCTTAGCACAAAGGTGGCGGCCTTCTGTTCCCGGAGCTCCCCCCCCCCGCCCACCNACACACTCATTCTCACACACACACTCTTACTCACAAACACTCTCACGCACACACACTCACGCACACACACACACCCCGCACAGCCCATCGAGTCTGTATCTTATAAATCACCTNCAGCGCCATCCCCTCCACCTCCCGCTCCCGCTCGGCCCTGGCACCTGCGAGCACGGCGTGCGAGCTGTCCCCGGGTCCCGGCATCCATGTGCCCACGCCTGCTCCCTTGTGGGAGGGGTGGTGACCTCCCCGTGGTCCTGGGTTGAATGGGAATGGAGGGGGACTTGCCAGACCTGAATGTCTGCTTGTGATTTTAGAGCCAAGCCCATGGGGGACAAGAGCGCCTTGACCAAGGTGACCAAGGACGAAGCTATTGAAAAACTCAGACACTGGATCCAGCAGCAGGACCCGGCCTTCAAGAACCGATTTCTCTGCTTCGGCAAGGACCTCGATGGGCGGATTAGCGTGCGCAGCTTCAGGAAGGTAGGGGAACGGCTGAGCCGTGCTTCTGCTGCTTTACTGCGCGAACGCCGCCAGAGGCTCGGAGGTGGGTTTGGGGGTTTTATGCCGGACAGAGCAGACCCATTTCTAGACAGCTCTTAACAGTTTAAAAGGCCTCTCTTGGCCAAAAACGTCTGTGGCAACTTTTTCAGAGACTGCGTTTGATGTGCACGTGGCTGTTTTGACACCTCGACTTTCCAAACAAAATGCTCAGCAGTTCACTGTGTGTGGCACC